GCAGTGAGCGTGAGGTGGTCTTAGTCAATTACCAAAAGAGAGCTCAGTCAGTGGTCATCAGTAGCTGCCTCTTCAGACTTCCTTAACTATGCTTCAATGAACTGATTCCTCAGGGCCGAGCATTCATGGTAAAAGCTTTCAGTCTCTCTCCACTTTATTCACTCCCACTTCATTCAAGTGGTCTCTCTTCCCCCTTTTACGACTCACCTGACCTGAGCAGCATTCATTGCTGCAGTAACTCGTTTGGCATGGTAAGGCTTCGCGCACTCTCTTGCTTCAGTCACTCCCACTTCATTCAAATGGTGTCGCCTAGGATTCACATTAATCGGTGCAGGAGGAAAAGAATCTATAGTCCTCCTCCTCCTTCTCCAAGTGTGCTTCCCCCATATAAATCTTACCCAACAAAAACATATACAAAATTTTCCTTCGGAATATGCAATATTTTATGCATATTACTCAGGTCATTTTAGACTGCTCATTAATTGGATATACAATAATATCCAAATTGAGTGTGGATGATTGTCAATTTTTAAGTATGGATAAGATTAACTTTAGGATGCTTTTTTTTATATTATTATCCCTAAATAATAATATATCATACACTAATAATTACACTCCTTTTTTTTCACTAATTGATTCTGAGATGAGTATGAATAAAATGATAAAATCGAGTTTCAAGCTCTCAGGCTGATCTTATTGTTGTTATTATTATTGCCACGTGATCTTAACCCCACACGCTCCAACACATTATTTCCTGCGTCCAAAACAAGACGCAGTAGCACGTGCGGCGTCTCGGAAACGACGCGCTGCTCGCGGTGTCTCGTGTGGCACCGACTCCGTCGGCGGCCAAGCAACCAACGCAGCGAGCAGAGACCGTGAGCGGAAGCTGACAAGAAGCACGGCCGAGACCGCGTGAACCACCGCCAGAAACGCCGGAGGGACGACGACATGTGAGGCCGGTTTCAGTGAGTCCCCCATCTATCATCCCAAATATGCGAGGAATAATATTTTATTAGATGAATCCAAATTATGCGAGTATAGAAGATCGGACTAGTTTGGTTATTCATCACAATTCATAATTCAAATAGCATAATATTCATTGATATTTATTTATATTTCTCGAGTTGAGATGAACACTAAATAAAATAAATAAATAAATATCAAATCAGATTCTATTTCGGATAATATACGATGGCATATTAATCTTCGTGGATCCCAAGCAGATTAAGCTACGTTGTTTCCATTTTGGCAAACATGGTCGTAATGCGGAGAGAATCTTTTGGGCACTTGAATGCATGCATGTGTAAGACACATCGTCTCTAAGCCATTGATACCTGCTTTGCAAGCTATATCGTGGATGTGGCGATCCTTTGATGCTGCGAAGAGGCAGTCAAAACCTACTCCTCTTATTTGGTAAGCAGTCAAACCTATCCATGCTTCACTAAACAATGCTTAATCTCATCACATGGATGTGACCATGTTTTACTCGGTAAACACTACTCTATTATTACTTTTGAGTAAATTGCACATAAAACGAAACTAAACTGTTCCATCTAATCTTCATCCTGCTCCCGTGCACGCTTACTCCCTGTGTTTTTGGATCTTGATGCATGATGAGAAATGTAGAGATCCACAAGGAAGCCTTTCTGCTACATCCACAGTGCTGATCACGAAGATTAAAGCAGGAAAATGAATCGAAACAGCCGAATAATCTTTCCGGGCAAGCATACGTATCTGCCAAGATGAATGAAAATTGTGATTAGGTATGGTTCAGATAGATTTGAGCTGACTTGAGTGCCATCTGCTATCATACTGTTCGACAAAAAGCTCCTGGTCAGCTACTACATCTTCATTACAGAATCAAATGCTGTCATTTAATACATGCGGCTAGAGATGAACATACTTGGTTAATAGCATTGATCGATACCTCAAACATTCCAAGCCACCACATGAAACAAATGGGCATGCGACCATGAGTCCAGTAGGGAAATCGGAAGGAAAGATTTCTGCTTAGGTCTTCTTGCAATTGCAATGCATGAACCAAGAAAAGTTGCGACGGTGAACAAGTAGAAGAATCCTTGGTTTCCACGTCCATGCATATATCAGAGGGATAGTGCAGATGATACGCCGCGCAGAGCAGCCTCACATGCAATTGCGTGACCAATCTGCTCTTGCAATCACAACATAGAAAAGCCATCATAGTGTGTTACCTGACGATGACTACTACGCCTTCCTCTCTCTCTTAGAATAGCCAGTATCTGCCGATGCAGCATCATCAAGATTCTCACATCTCTCATATTACAAGCCTATCTTCTGAGGACTTTAGTCTCCTCAGACAGGGATGGAGTTGTTTGATAAGAGCTTGTGAATCTTGATGATGCTGCACCAGCAAATAGTGACTGGTGCTTGAAGCTGTAGAACGCATTCACTCTAAATGATCCCCGTCGCTAAACCTAGCACAAAGGCCAAAGGCCACCGAACACAGAAGCCAAAACATGAGAAAAGGAGGAGGCTACAGAAGACCCGCTCTGCAAAAGAAGAGCTCGTAAAAGATCTTAAATTAAGGATCTCCAAAGCTAGGAGGCGAAGAGGAGGGTTGGTGAGGGACAACCAGTGGAGAGGGTGGGGCATATATAGGTATACGCAAGTCCGAAGTGTGCACATATGGAGGAGGAACCCCAGGGACTGGTTTCACTCCTTGCTGACCTCGGCCACTTGCCACGGGCGTCCATGGACCGTGGACACAAGAAAAGGAGAGAGAACCTTCCTCTGAGGGAAAGCAGCATGACCTGAAGACAGAAACATAGGGGAAAAGGGAAAGGAATCGAGCGCCACCGCTGACGGACGGTGGCGTTCGGGTTGGCAGAATCTGTTGCGTTTCCAACAAGCATCCTAACCTGGGAGAGATTTGACGGTTCTCTAAACGCCAAAGCCAAGCGCCAGTTCCTTTCTTCTCCCCTTCCCCGAGCATTTTCCATGCACCGCCATGGCTGCAGAATCCAACGAAGAAGGCACGGCTCTAAATGGGCCTACGTCTTTGCAAAATGAACATGATTTAATTCCCTATATATATATATATATATATATATATAAAAGGTTTCATTACTGAGGATATATATATATATATAAGGTTTCATTACTGAGTGTTAAATCATTACTAGATCAAATTTATGATGATGTACAGTTCCATCATGCGATCGTTCGTGCTTGGTGATCATCCACTTTCCCATGCATCATAGCGGGTCCATACGCAGAAGAAGAAGACAAGGAAAACTCGAAAACCACCACTCCATGCATTGGCCGTGCTTTTGGGAATCAAACATCCATCCATCCATCCATCCGTCCGTCCATCTGTTGTCCATTTCCGTTGGTCACGTCGGAACTTTCTTGGTTTGCAAAGCTTTTAGGGCCACATCTTCTCACTCTCCATCATCACACCGGGAGGAATCTCCCATCCCATCTCACAGCCGAGACAGAGAGGCCCCCCCACCTCGCCCCCCCCAGCCGAGGGCAAGGCACAGCACAACAGAGGAAGAGAAGCCATGCATGGCCTCAGGGGAGAGAGAGGACGACTGCAGCTTCTGCGGCCTTCCGGAGAGCGCGCCCGTCACAGCAGAGCAGCAGCAGGAGCGGCCCCAGTCTCGGGCGGACCAGCCAATCTCCGTGAGTGCCCGGAGTGGCAGGGAAGAGGACAAGCGTGTCGACTCCTTGCGGCCTTCCCGAAGATGGATACGCCCAGATCTCCCTTTCGCCTCACACCAGTCGGGACTACGTTCGTACGTGCATGCATGCTTTCTTTGGTGGCTGACAACTCTCAGCCTTATTGCTACGTCACTCACCCCCCACCCCTCTCTCTCTCTCTCTCTCTCTCACGCATGTACAAGTTACACTTTCATGAGATTTTAGGCAAATGGGCCGGTCCGAAAGAACATGGGCTGTGAGTTGGCTTGTGTGGGCTGACTTTAGTGGTAAATCCTGGACAATTCGTCCATGTCAACTTTGGTGTTAGGTTGACTCTTTGACAAGGCGCCTGTGGGGGCGCTACATGCCTGATCTGCCACCACCGGTGAGTCATGATATGACAAATGGCAACAGTTGGATCACATCGAACCCAATCACGAACCACCGCTAACTCGATCTACTCTCTCTCCGGAGTGAGATCAGGCATCGAGTCCAGCTACTAAGAAGCGTGTTTGTTCCTGGACCAGCTACGCATTGACGCAACTCGCACTTGTCTTTGATGGGACAGGAAACAGACGTTTCCACCTCACAAAGGCCGATGAGACGCGATATTACCAGCCGAACAAGAAGCGATAGGGCCGAGGGATTGGGGAAAACCCTTGTCCCTCGCTCGAAGGACACAGGGGATCGTCTCAAGCTCGGGGATAAGCTCGCGAGAGGCCGGGAGACCGCGTCATTCGTCGCGCGTGACGAAACCGGACAAGAAAACCGGGAGCCACACCTAACGTGAGAGCCACGAGTGGGCCCCGCCCGCCGTTTGACTTGATCCCCCTCGCGTACGACAATGTTGGCGCTGACTCTCGTGGCTTGGCTCGTGCCCTCCGGCGTCCAACACGCCAACCTGGCTGCCCACGCCTGCAGGTCAACCCCCTGTCTCACTCCATCCCCACTCCCCTCGTCATTAAATCTCGCTTGGTCTCTTCTTGGAACCTTTCGATTCTACTCTCTCCTCTCAAGTCAACCCACACGCAATCCAGATCTACTCGGCCCTTTCACCCCTGGCCGACCCCTCACATGATATGGCCGTCTTGCTTGGGTAAATTGGCTGCAGGCTGAGGAGGATCAGCTGGCATCTCAACAACATACATGTGAAGAACACCGAGAGAAAGGACGTCGATACTCACAGGAATCACACTGTAGTTTAGGTGGTTGACCATTGCCATCAGGTGGTTAAGGTCCACCCAAGTTAATGAGGCTTGTCATCTACCACTGTTGGAATCACAGTAAATGGAGAAGCTCGATCTTTGATGCTTTTAAAAGCCAGCATCGCATGATAGAGTCACACGCCACTCTTCTCTTATCGAGTCCGATGGAGGAAGTCGAAGGAACAGAGGTCAACTGGTTTGACGATTTTGACTGTTCTCAGTTGGAGTTGTTGAGGGAGCTGCAGGCTCAGGAGAGCCCTCGGTTCATGGAATCCCAACCTGATGCGCCACATGAATCGGTCATCGACAAGCTCATCTCTGCTCTCTATTCCAACCCAGCGATCGGCGACGTAGAAAGCGCACTCTCTGTGACCTTTCAGAACGGCGACTCCCATGGCCGGTGTAATTCTCAACCCATGTATGCTCACATGCATCTCTTCTTCTTCTTCATTCTAATGCTGTCATGCCATGTTAGAATCTTCAGCTAGATAACTTGGCCCCTTTTGCTTGCAGAATTTGCTCACCGGACAAGGGTCTGGGAAGGATGGATCACAAGTTCACAATCAGAATCAAGACCTGTGAGAATGGGCTTGCTGATGATGGTTACAAATGGAGGAAATATGGGCAGAAATCCATCAAGAACAGCCCCAATCCAAGGTCTTTTCTTACTCCACCAGTATTTTTCTTCCACAGGCACTCCACTTTGTTGTTCTTTAGCTGACATTAAATCCATCAGAATTCATTCCTACAGCAACCTGATTCAAACTCTCGCTCACAGTGATCGTATGGATTGGTTGACTTGGTAACAGGAGCTACTACAGGTGCACCAACCCGAGATGCAATGCCAAGAAGCAGGTGGAGAGGTCCATGGAAGATCCAGAGACGCTCATCGTCACATACGAGGGCCTCCACCTCCACTACACCTACTCACACCTCCTCCTCAGTGGGTCGTCGCAGTACTACTACTCCGACACCGACCTCCACGTCGCGAAGAAGCTCAAGTGCCACTCCATGGCGGAGGTCGCGGACGCACCGGCGCAACCCCCAACACGGAGCACATCGACGATCGAGCCTCGCAGGTTGCAACCTGCAGCGGATGGAGCAGTACTTCTGGGAAGTGCTGATGCGAGTCTGCGGCATGGACTTCTTGACGATGTATCGCGGAGCTCAGAAGGACTCCTGGAAGATGTTGTGCCGTTGGTGGTGAGAAAGCCATGCAACTCCACCACCTCGTCCTTCGACGCTTTTCCTTCATCCCCGGCATCTTCTCCATCCTACTCTTCCCTGCCATTAACCACCAACTCTTCTCACCTAGATCTGGGTACTCTCTCCACCATCATGTGAGTACCAACCTGGTAGGACAGGAACAGTTTTAACATTGTATGGGTACCCACTATAATGAATTGATAATGCACGATATCTACCTACCACTGTCGAGACCAGAATGTCTCAACTGGTGCAGACTAATTGTGATGCTTATAGGTCTCATGTTTGTTTGCTGTGAACTTAGAATCTGTGGACGACATGATAGAAATAGACAGAGATTGCAGGACTGAATGTTTCCACAGTACAATCTCCATGTGGTGGTGGAGAACACTGCCTTTTGTTGTTTTCTTATCCAGTGGTATCAAAAGGTGGAGGATGAGCAGATGAGAAAGAACTTGTCATGCATTAAATTACCAGTGCAGTTTGTATTGATATATATTTCATTACCAAATGCAGTTCCTTTTGAGAAGCCAGTATTGCCTGTTCCCTTGGTCTGTTAATTAACATATCTTTTTATCAAAGATTAATCTTCATCTTTGAGCTATAAACTGGCTTTAAGTTTCTAAATTCTAATTTAGTAAAAGTATAATTTATTTCTATGGAATACAAAAATAACTAAATCACACATGGCTTATTTTTAAATATTTAAAAAGATTGTCTTTGTAGGGTTGTACCAAAGTCCACCCTGACATACATATATTTTTTAAATATTTTTATTTTTCATATTTACCTTTTGAATCAAAGTCTTGCACAAATATCGTTACTTGACTATCCTTGCAGCACAACTTGTAGGTACTTTATATTTTGAAAATTTTAAAATTAACTTAAAAATTGATAAAATTATTGTCATGACTTAATATGTTTGAATGGATATTTTTCCAGAAAAATCTTTATAATTAGGTTTTTATCGAATGATACCCCATAATTTGATTTTACTTCAGCATCTCTTTTTTTTTTGTCAATTTGATAAAAATATCTCTTCGTCTTCTATCAATCATCTTTGGCCATCGTCATTCCTTATCCCTTGCTCTCATCATGAGTGGTGCCCTGCATTCTTTTTACCCCTTCGTCTTTTCTTTTCTTTTCTCTTCTCCTCTTCTAATCACGATATAATAGCTTTCACCGAAGAAGATACGATTATCTCTCCATTACTTTCATCGATGTCATTCTTAACTATCTTAATTACGATTGCCTCTAACAAAGGTGAAAAGCACTAACAACAAAGGTTACGAAAAGAAGATTGCCTCCATGAGTTATATTATGATACATAAGTTATATTATACAAAGATAATAGGAGATGATAGAAGGTAAGGCACAAACAACAGTAATAATGGATGAAGATAATTAGTGGATGATGGAAGGATATTTTTGTTAAGTTGATGAAGAAAAGAATATTCGAAGATAAAATTTAATTATCGGGTGTTATTCGGTGAAAGCTCAATAGTATAAAATTTTATGGGTAAAATACTCAAAAATTAATAAGGGATATATGTGTCATATTAAAGTCAAAAAGAGGTAAAATTTGTACTATGTCCAAATTTATATACAAAAGGAAACCATATATATGTATATGTATATATATATATATAATTTATTTCGTTTTTTATTATTTGATGGTAAAAGCTTGTTTCCCAAGAAATGAACAGCCCACGCTGCGTTTCGAGTCGTACGATCGCCCAACTGATGCCATTGATGACGTGCCACGCAGCCATGAGACTTCTGCGGTCCCACCGCAAACACACGCAAGGGAAGGCCCACCGGGGCTTGCGCTAAATCTAAAGCCACCGGTCCTGTTTCTTACGAGTCCCAGACCGTGCGCCGCCGGCAGATTCGAAGAAGAAGAAGAAGCCGTTGTCATCCTCATCCAGGGGACGACCTGGAAACCCTAGACCGGTTCCTCAATCTCCGCCATCCCCGTTAAGCGCTCAGCCTCCGACCCGAAGCCCTCGATCTAGGGTTCTTCCGACCCATGCGCTAGGATGATCTTTTCTAAGATCGCGCGTCCTATCTCTCGATCTTCGCGTCGCCGATCCGGACATGTAATTTTCTTACCAATGTCGTTTCGTGTATTTCTGTAACCTTTGTCTCTTGATCTATTTTGTCTTTGTTTAGGGATGGCTGCCGAGCGGTTTTGGCGTGAAGTCTGGATGCTCAAGAGAAGCCCTATTGCAAGATCCGATCTGTCATGGGGATAATGGAGGATTGAGGTCTCTGAGGGGCTATTTGACCTCCGTCGGAGCTCATAGAACCCTCGGAGAAAGAAATCACCTGGCTGATTGGAGATTCTTTTTGGCAAATCCAAGTTTTAGGCGGTTCTTTTCAAGTGAATCACCCAATAAGAAGAGTAAGAGAGATGTAGAATTTCAAAGCGATCTATTATTTTGTTCTGTGGTGGTTCTTATACGGAGCGCATCATTTCTTGGTGTACTTATTTTTCTACTTTGGTGTAAATTTTCTAGATTATGAGAACTACTATCCGAAGGATAAGAAAGAAATTCCAAAAGCAAATGAGAACAACGAATCGGATTCAAAAGGTACACTTATATATTATGCATTCTTCAGTAATTTATTTGACAAAAAGGGGAAAAGAAAAAGCAAGACCTGAACCCAACAATTGTGATGTCTTAGGATTCCTTTTAATTGTGATGTTCCCATTTGAAACTGTTTGATAATGTGAGTACTGAGATTGCTAAGGATTTTATACTTATTTAGTTTGAACAAGCTTGTCTTAGAAGCAGTTTGCCCTTTTTAGAACAATGAGAGCAAAAAACATATTTCTTAACTGATTTCACAGTGATATTGTTATAAGACCAATGTAGTTTGAGTAGCCAATTGCTTTTTAACATGTCTTGCTTAGCATGTCTATAGTAACTGATTAAGCAGACAGATGTTTTTGAGTAGGATATGATGAACTTGTGCTACTACCAAACCCTTTATAAATTTTCCTATGGTGATCATGTAGAAGTCAGAAAGGCCCAGGAACAACCTAGACAATATTTCAAATTTCAACTGTACCGGTCAATACGAACTGATATTTACCATTCTAATCAATTACCGGTATTGAAATATATAGTTCATACTGTATCATCCAATTTTTACTTTTTTATATAATGATGCCATGTGGTTTAGGTTAACATACCACCCAATTTACCAGTATTGTACCGGTTCAGTAGGTTACAAAGACCAATACTGGTCTGAGATTTAAATCCTTGAATCTGGATTACAAATGTACATTCTCAAGTATCAATTATGAAAACCTAAAGAACAAGAGTGTTGTTTTGTACAAAATTTATGAGAAAGAAGGATGGCCCAGCGCACAAAGCACCCATCATTGTGGGCTTGTTGGGAGGGCCAGTATAAGAACTCATACTCATAGTTTCCATATATCCATAATTCACAAGAAACCTACAAAAAAAAAGAAGCAAATGTCCAGGATCTAAATCCTCAAACATGAATTTTGATCCAAGGATTTTGGTGGGAAGTTCTTCTTTATCCTTCATCCAAAGAATTGGGACAAGGAAATCCGCATTCCTTAGAGCCCATCTAGGAATAGGTTGCTAGAACATTGATACAGTCTCTGGTCACCACTATTTAAAGTCTTTTTTCTTTATTTCAGATTAACATGCAGACAGAATTTGTTCAAATAAATTACAGGACATCTAGGAAGACATGGAGTTAGACAACTTGGAACTATTGGTACATGCATTAGTTTGGAGATATTAACCACAACTCATGCAATTGTTTGCCTAAATGATATGATCTGAACTTTCTGTCTGAGAATCTTGTGTCAATATACAGCTTAGTGTATGTCAGTTTATTTCTGCATCAAGGAATCCATTTGTGATGTATAATGTTGTCAGATTTCTTGAATATTTGAATAGTAATTATTTATTCAGGCAATCTATTATCAAGTCACCTGATGACTTAAACAATATACAGATTTGCTTTAGTTTATTTCTGGATTTTGTGCAGAGGATTCAAATGCGGATGATTCAGGAAGTTTGAAGGAGAATCTCATGAAGGCTTTGCAGGGTTATGTTGCTCCATTACTTTTTATGGGGTTGCTGTTTTCTTCCTCTTCTTTTGGCTCCTCTGACCAGAAAGAGGTTTGTTGCACATATATTAACATATATGTTCATTATCATGACGATTATATGTTGCTTATGTATAAGCCTTAGGGTTTTTTTTGGTATTTGGTCACATATTCCTGGGTGGCATCAAAATGCCTAGTAATGAAGCCCCTTAGTCTTTTCTCCCCTGAGAAGATTAGGTCTTTTAGATTTATGCAATTCCTCAGGAATCATTTTTATTTATTTATTCAGTCTTGATTGATTCTTCTGTCCCAAAGTCAAATCAAGCTTAACTTGAGTATGATTATGATTCCTATCTCTCAGGAATTTGTAGACATGTGCAATGGAAATTACTGTTCCATCTTTCTGTCTATTTGGTTGTGACCACTTACTGTTTTTTAAGAACCTCTCCTCACTAGAGATTTATCATCTAGACTTGCTGATTTTACTTTTCCAATTACTATACATATGATCACATGAAGGAATTTCATTAGTTTGTTCAAATTGGATTTTTTTTCATAGTCATGGCTATATAATTTGCTTCAGGGCATTATTCCCTCAATTTTTACATCTTTTACTGTATTAAAATTCTTTTTGATCTATTGCTGAATCTGTGTCTTTCATGTTTTCTGATGCCACAGTTTGAATCCTGTTGTTTACACAGATCAGTTTCCTAGAGTTTAAGAACAAGCTGCTGGAACCTGGCTTAGTCGATCACATTGTTGTGTCAAACAAATCAGTTGCAAAAATTTATGTCAGGAGCTCTGCACGATTAAGCAACCAAACCAAAGACGATCAAATGCAGGAAACAACAACACCTGCCCCTCCTGCACATTCTGCTAGCCAGTTCAAATATTACTTTAATATTGGAAGTATTGAATCCTTTGAAGAAAAGTTGGAGGAAGCTCAGGAAGCCTTGGGGATAGATCCTCATGAATATGTTCCTGTCAGATATGTATCTGAAGTAAATTGGTTCCAAGAATTACTCAGATATGCACCCACTGCATTTCTTGTGGGGCTTATCTACTTCATGGGGCGGAGAATACAGGGTGGAATTGGTGGTGGTGTTGGCAAGGGGAATCGTGGA